GACCCACAGCCATGTGGCCCCTGCTGACCCACAGCCCGCGTGGCCCCTGCTGACCCACAGCCCGCGTGACCCCCGCTGACCCACAGCCCACGTGGCCCCTGCTGAGCCATAGTCCCACGTGGCCCCCGGCTCTGCCCACGTCCCTCTTTATCAGAATGGCCCAGGTGTCCAGTCCACCTCTCTGGAGAGTGACTTAAACAACAGAATTTATTTCTTCAGGGGGGAGGCCAGAGGCCCGAAATCAAGGTGTCGCGGGGCCGGCTCCCCCCGAGGCCCTGGGGAGGGTTCTTCCCGCCTCTGCCAGCTTCTGGGGGCCCCCGGGCTTCCTGGGCTTGTGGCTGTGTCACCACCACCTCTGTCTCATCTTCCCGTGGCCTCTGCTGGGACTCTCCTCGGGCCCTGCTGAGGCGGCTGGGTCCCACCGGTGCCCCGGGCCGCCCTCCCCCAGGACCCTTAGTCACACCTGCACAGAGGTTCTCCGAACGAGGTCACTTCACAGCCCTGGCTGAGCCGGGACCTGCAGAGGCGAGAGGTGAACGCGTGAAGGACGCTCCTCGTCCTGGCTAAGCCTGAGCCCGCCCGAGACTCCCCTCTCCCTCTCCCGAGGGCGCCGGGCGTCTCTCCGTGCGCTCGCTCCGGGCCTGGGCCCTGGGCCGCCAGCCTGCACAGCAGCCCAATGGGCACCGGACATCGGGCACCGGGCACCGGGCGGGCTGCGCTCCAGCTGCTGCTGTTTCTTTCAGGAACTTCACCTCCCTCTTCCACCCTGACTACGGCAACTGCTACATCTTCAACTGGGGCATGGCCGAGCGAGCGCTCCCCTCCTCCAACCCCGGAGTGGAGTTCGGTAAGTCTCAGCTCCTCCGGGCCAGACCCATGAGGCTTTACCCTCCCACCGTGCGGCCCAAAGACCAGGTGGCCATCAAGCGTTGAAGGGCAGGATCTGGGCAGGCAGCTGGGGCCTGAGGAAGAGTGGCCGCCTCAGTTGGGGGGAGGGGGGGGCCTGGGGCAGCCACACTACTTCCATTTTGCTAATGAGCAGAATAAGGGCTGAGTGGGAAGTGCTCCGGCCCTGCCCCCTGGGATCCCAGGTTCCCATGCAGGCTGGAGGAGGTGACCTGGGCTGAGACCTGCAGGGAGAGCGGGTCTTCGGGGGGGCGGGGGGGACAAAGCCTTCCGAAGGCCTGGCACCAGGAAGGAGCACGGGGCTGAGACAGGCTGACTGTGAGGCGAGGTGGAGCCGCGGTGCCCTCAGATGGCCGCCACGTGGGGGGGGGAGCAGGAGGAGCCCAGGAGGAGAGAACGGTGGGGGACTAGGATGGGCCTAGAGAAGACAGGAGGCTGGACTTTCACAAAGCGGAGCCGGCTCCTGGGCAGGCCAGGGAGGCCCCTTGCTGGGGGCATGGACATGTGGGTGGCTGGCTCCCGGCAGCAGCCCTCGGCCCCTCCCCCCACAGGCCTGAAGCTGATCCTGGACCTGGGCCAGGAGGAGTATGTGCCCTTCCTCACGTCCACGGCCGGCGCCCGGCTGCTGCTCCACGAGCAGAGGTCGTACCCCTTCGTCAAAGAGGAGGGCATCTATGCCATGTCGGGGACGGAGACATCCATCGGGGTGCTGGTGGTACGCCGCAGCCCCAGGGGCGCCTGAGGGGTGAGGGTGGCAGCCCGCCCGCCTAGCCCCCACTCCCAGGCCTCTTC